CGTACATTCCATTCTGTGGTATGGCCGGTTCCTGGGATGGGGTCCTTTGTTCACTTCCCAAGTTCTCTAGTGGGGTGCCCTCCCTGTTTAAGCTTATATTTTATTTCTATAAATTCAGGGTCTTACATTCCTCCCTTTTCTCTAGGGCATAGTTTTAATCATAAAACCTTTTAGGGGGCCTCCATGTTAGGTACAGCTTGATACTGCTGGGTTAGGAAGAGGGCCTGGGTAATAGACAGCCTCTCTCGTATAAATTGCAAAAGCCTGTTAAGGAGACAGGGGCCAAATGTTAGGAGCATAAGGAGTATGAATAAGGGTCCTATAAGGGTAGATATCAGAGTAGTTAACCATGGCGACTTATTGAACCACCCCTCAAAACATCTTTGTTGGGCTTCTGTTTCTCTCTGTCTTTGGGCCAGTCTCTCTCTGAGCTTATACATGGAGTCTCTAATCACACCTGAATGATTAACATAAAAGCAACATTCTTCTTGAAGAGCTGCACATAGTCCCCCTTCTATGAAGAATAGTAAATCTAGCCCTCTTCGGTTTTGAAGAGCCACCTCTGCCAGTGAGGCTAGTGATTCTTCTAACCTGGTTACAGACCTTTCTAATATTTGTAAGTCCTCGGTTACAGCAATCCTGAGCTCATTGTATTGTTGGGACCCCTGGATTAGGGCTGCTGTTCCGGTGCTGATTCCTGCAACAACCCCAATTCCCAGTAGGGCTGTTAGGGTTAGAGATACTGGTTCTCTTTTATACCGGGTCTGATGGGGGCTATGTGCATCTTCCAGGTAACCTGCTGGATGGTAGAGTACCCAAGGTATCAGCTGGACCAAGACACAGAAGTCTTTGGCCTGGTCCAGGACCCCCGTATGGAGACAGGGGGGTGAGTCCGGTATTACAGGCCCACCACAGTCCTGGGTTTGGTACCAGATACCTGGAGCCCATGTTAGTTTTGGGCTGTAGGAGGGTTTGGTTACAGAGGTCCTGGTGGGACCTGGGGACATTCTCCAAGCATGTGCCATTTCCCGAGACTTGGATGAGGGTCAGCTTATGGTGGACTTTCCAATAACATTGGGAAGGGTTGGTGCTATTGGTAAATGCCCCGTGGGTGGCTATACCTTCATAGTAGGGAGGTGTAGAGACTAGGCATAGCCAGCAAGGGTTAGTTATGTCTGGCCTAGTTTGATTTAGGGCAGAGAAAGCCCCTCTAATTAAGTTAAAGATCTGTTGCCCAGTGGACGGAACATTTTCCTCTTGGGTGGTGCTGACAGGGGAGATGCTGATGCCGGCAGCGGCCGGGGTGGTGATAAAAGCCTGGGATTCAGACCCAGAGAGCCCCGGAGCCCTCTTTGGCTGGGTGTTGAGCTTGGGAAGCTCCTGCTCTTTTAGAACCGAGTTAGGCCCTATGGCTTTAGGCCCTGGGATAGCTATCTGTAAGCGAATTCTGAGGGTGACGCCTCTGTCTTCCCATGGCATGTACCATCTTAACCCCCATGTTTTCCCTTGTAGCCATTGGGTGTAGTCTCGTTTGCCTTGAGTAGTAAAGGTAATCACAAGGGGAAGACATGTGGCTGTGCTGCAAGACCAGGGGCCCCATCTCTGAGTATAATCACAATCGAAGCGGCCCAAGGGGGGTTGCGAATAATTTCGGCGCACATTAATCAGGTCCCAAGACGAACTAGGTTTCCAGTAGGCATCCCCCGTGGTCTCACATCCCCACTTGGCACAGAAATATTTTTCATATCCCCCACATCCTGAGCCCCTTGGCTGTCCCTGCTGAGGACAGACATAGAAGTCCATTTGTGCCAGAAGACACCTGGCTCTAGGGTTGCAACCGCCTTGTGGCCAGGTCTTTCCTATGGGCTCCAGGCGGTGTTTATTTCCCGTTTAATCTCATGGGCCCCGACTGTGGGGATGTCCCAGGTCTCTAACCCTGAGGCCAGATGGCAGAAGTCGGGAGTGAGAGTGGGCCACCAGGTACCAGGCGTGTGGTAACCTGAGAGGGACCAGACAACCTCTCCTGTTTGGGAGATCACCTGCCAGATCAGCTGCTGGGGAGCATGTGGGGTTCCCTCAGATCTGGCAGGGGAAAGGAAAAGCATTAAGCATAACAAGACAATCAAACAGTTCGTGAGAGTCTTAGCTTGAGTGGGTTTTGAGTGCGCTGTAACCTCCATCTCGTCGTCCCGTCCTCTGCTGAACCTCCGCTGGCGATGGCCTTCTTGGCGTGAGAAGCGTGGATCCATGCTGCAATCCCATCTACTTTTAGAGCTGTGGGGGTTATCAGGATCACGGTGTAAGGGCCTTTCCAGCGGGGTTCAAGAGTTTTAGCTTGGTGGCGTCGGCCATACACGGAGTCCCCGATCTGGAACGGGTGAGGCACCGTAGAATTTCCAGCCTGGTATACTGCAGCCAGTGGTTTCCAGATCTGATTCTGAACGAGTTGGAGGGCATGTAACCAGGCCTGGAGGGATGGGGGGGTCAATGGAATGATTAAGGTCTATGGCAAGTGTACTCAGGATAGGCAGGGGTCCCCCAAATAGGATCTCAAATGGAGTTAACCCATGCACTGAAGGGGTGTCCCGAACTCGAAACAGTGCCATGGGTAGGAGCTGTACCCAGTCTCTAGTGCCAGTCTCTAAGGTCAATTTGGTTAAAATTTCTTTAATTGTTCTATTCATTCTCTCTACCTGTCCTGAACTTTGGGGTCTGTATGCACAATGTAGTTTCCAATCAATTCCTAACGTTTTAGCCACAAGCCGACTCACCTGAGAGACAAAGGCAGGTCCGTTATCTGAACCTATTACCTTGGGTAGCCCGAACCGTGGGAAGATCTCTTCAAGGATTTTCTTGACTACCACCTGTGCAGTCTCACGCTTGGTGGGAAATGCCTCAGTCCATCCTGAAAAAGTGTCTATGAAAACCAGAAGGTACCTGTTTCCAAGGCTTCCAGGTTTGATTTCAGTGAAATCGACTTCCCAGTTGGTTCCTGGCTGCTCCCCCCTGACTCTAATCCCCTCAGGCATCTTAATCCATCCCGTGTTTACTTTGGCGAAGGGAGCACAGGAACTGGTGATTTGTTGAAGGAGTCTGTTGAGGTTGTGAATGTAATAGAATTGCTCTTCTCTCTGCAGGATGTTTTTGAGTTTCTTATGTCCAAGGTGGGTCCATCGATGTAACTGGAGTAGGAGTTCTTTGGCCGCTTTCTGGGGTAGCAGGATTTTGTCTTGGTAACGCCATACTCTTGTCTCCTGGTCGTATTCTGCCCCCAACCCTTGGACTGTTTCCAAGTCTTGGTCCGTATAGTCAAATCCTTGTGGAGGACGGGGGGGCGGGGGCGGGGGTTGGGCAAGTAGCCTTTACGGGGAGAATTTGTGGGCCCAACGCTGCTTTCTTGGCTTCCTCATCCGCCATTCGATTCCCTCTCGCCACGGGGTCATTTCCTTTCTGATGTCCGGGGCAGTGTATGATGCTCAGTCTTAGTGGCAAGAAGAGAGCCTGTAGGAGGTCCACGATCTCAGTTCTGTTTTTAATGTCTCTTCCTCCTGAAGTCAAAAGGCCCCCCCTTCGGTAAATTTCACCATGCACATGAGCCGTGGCAAAGGCGTAGCGGCTGTCAGTGTAAATGTTAATTTTTCGGCCCTTGGCTATTCTAAGCGCCTGAGTTAGGGCAATGAGTTCTGCCTTCTGTGCTGAGGTCCCGGTTGGTAGAGCACTGGCCCAGATTACATCCCGACCATCCACCACTGCTGCCCCTGCTTTTCGTATACCATCTTGTAGGAAGCTGCTCCCATCCGTGAACCAGGTGTATTCAGCCTCCGGTAGTGGGCGGTCCATTAAATCTTCTCTGGTACCTTGGGTCTCAGCTAGGATCTGGTGACAGTCATGGAGCACATTGGCCTCTGTATCCGAGTCCGGGAGGAGGGTGGCTGGATTTAGGGATGTGGCTGCCCCGAACCACAACTTGTTGGGGTTGAGGAGCAGCATCTGGTAATGGTTCATTCGTGCATTTGAAAGCCACCTATCAGGTGGCTGTCGGACCATAGCTTCTATTGCAAGAGGGGCCACCACTGTGAGTGGCTGACCCAAAGTCAATTTGTTTGCATCTTTGGCGAGGACAGCCACAGCAGCCACTATTCGGAGGCATGGGGGCCAACCTGATGCTACATTGTCCAGTTTTTTGAGAAGTATGCTACTGGTCTCTTCCATGTCCCAAGCTGCTGGGTTAGGACTCCTTTTGCCAGTCCTGCCCTTTCATCCACGTAGAGGGTGAAAGGCTTGTTTATATCGGGGAGACTCAGGGCAGGTGCTGACAGAAAGGGCCATTTGATATTGTCAAAGGCCTCCTGGTGCTCCTTTTTCCACACAAAAGGGGCCGTAACTTTAGTCAAAGGGTAGAGTGGGGCTGCTAATTCTGCAAAGCCAGGAATCCAGAGGCGGCAGAACCCTGTGCTACCCAGAAACTCATGCACCTCCTTGGAATTTTTGGGTGGGGAAATCAGGGCTACAGCCTGTGTTCGTCCCTCTGTCAGCCAGTTCTGACCGTCCTGAAGCTGATACCCTAGGTAGGTGACTTGCTTCTTACAGAGCTGAGCCTTTTTTGCTGATGCTCGATATCCCAATTCCCCCAACCTTTGTAATAACGCCCCGGTACCTTGGAAGCAGTCATGTTCTGATTCTGCGGCCAGAAGGAGATCATCTACATATTGGAGTAAAATTATATTGGGGTTATGGACTCGGAAGTCTGCCAAATCTTGGTGAAGGGCTTCATCGAAGAAGGTTGGTGAGTTCTTGAATCCTTGAGGGAGTTGCATCCATGTGAGCTGGCCAGAGAACCCGGTCCCAAGATCTTTCCTTTCAAAGGCAAATAGGGGCTGACTCTGAGGGCTCAGTCTGAGGCAAAAGAATGCATCTTTAAGGCCAAGCACCGTATACCAGACATGGCTTGGAGGCAACGTGCTCAGTAAATTATAAGGGTTAGGTACTGTTGGATGAATGTCCTCTGTCCTCCGATTTACTTCCCGGAGGTCCTGAACTGGCCTATAATCCCCCGTGCCTGGCTTCTTCACAGGGAGGAGGGGAGTGTTCCATGGACTATGACAGGGTTTACGGATACCCAACTGCATTAACCTGTTGATATGTGGTCTGATCCCTTCCCTGGCTTCATGGCTCATGGGGTGTTGTTTAATGGCAACCGTGGTGGCTGCGGGTTTGAGGTTGATGATCAGGGGGGGTTGTTTTTCAGCCAATCCCATACCCGCCATCTCTGCCCAAGCGTCTGGGTATCTTTGTAGCCAGTCGGAACCTGTTGTTGGCAGAGAGAGTGGCGGCCCTTCCAGGAACCTATGCTCATCCTCCAGGTGCAGAGTCAAAACCTGGAGGGGCTGCCCCCCTTTGTCTGTCACCCTGGCCCCCTCTTGATGGAAGTGGATGTGGGCCCCTACCTTTGAGAGCAGGTCTCTTCCCAATAGAGGGTAGGGGCATTCTGGCATAAGCAAGAAAGAATGAGTCACTTGCCCTGTGCTCAGTTGGACCTTGCGTTCAGTTATCCATCGGTGTAGTTTTCCTCCAGTGGCGCCTTGGACCCAGGTTGTCCGGGTACTCAAAGGTCCTCAGGTTTGGGTCAGGACTGAATGTTGAGCTCCTGTGTCGACTAAGAATGTCACAGGTTGCCCCCCTACGTTTAAGGTTACCCTGGGCTCGGGAGGGGGGGCTCCTAGCCCTGACTGGCCTAATCTTCTTCTTCCAGGGAGAGGACAGGAATGGGTGGTCGCTTTGTCCTCTCGGGGCAATTCCTCGCCCAATGCCCCTTCTTCTTGCAGTAGGCGCATTGATCTCTTTCCAGTCTTGGTCTTGCTTTGTCTCCCAGGTACCTCACCAGTCTAGGCCTATTTTTAGACTCCTGCACTACGGTGGCCAAAATTTTTGTTAATTCCTGATTGCGCTTCTTATCTCTCTCGTCCTCTCTCTCTTCCTGCAACTTACGTAGCCTCTCCTCCTTCTCTTCCTGTGTCTCTCTTTTATTAAAAATCTTTTCAGCCTCCTTTACTAAGTCCTGCAGGGTATATTCCTGCAGCCCCTCAAGGCGTTGCAACTTAGTGCGTATATCGGGTGCTGACTGTCCGATGAATGACATGATTATGCCAGCTTCCCTCTCCTGGGCCTGGGGGTCAAAAGGAGTATACATTCTTTAAGCCTCCATGAGGTGCTCTAGAAACCCGGCAGGGGTTTCTTCCTTACCTTGAGTTACTGCATGTACCTTGCCCAAATTTGTGGGGCATCTCCCTTCCCCTTTGAGACCCGCCAACAGAGTCTGGCAATAGAGACGGTGATGCTCCCTACCGTGTGGTGTGTTGAAGTCCCATTCCGGGCGGGTTAAGGGAAAGTGAGCCTCTATCTCATCGGGAAGCTGGGTAGGTCTCCTGTCCGGCCCCAGAACATTCTTTCTAGCTTCCAAGAGGTCTCTCTGCCTCTCCTCTGTTGTAAGGAGAGTTTGTAGGTAGTAGCTGCCCATGAGGATGGACTTGATGAGACCTGTTAGGGCCTGGGGGTCTAGTGAGAAAGAAGGATTATGAGTTTTTCAGTTGTAGAAATCAGCAGAGGAGAAGCGCCAGTATTGGTAGTTCCTTCCCCCCATCAAGCAGAGTGGGAAAGCCTGGGAGGTCCCAGGCTTATTGGCTCCCTCCTGCTGTTCGATCTTTCCTTGGCTGCAGCCTGGTAGAGGGGGGTGGGTTGCAGCTCAGACTTTCCCAGGTGACGATGTAAGGGACCTGGTCAGGACGGCCTTGAGGTTTGGGTTGAACAATCCGAGCTTTAACCTGCAAAATAATGGTGATATTAAAGGTACCATCCCTAGGCCAGCCCACATTAAAGGTGGGCCATTCTGAAGAACAGAAAGTTCGCTGTCTCTTCTTTCAAACCTCCATCGCTTCATCGTGGGCCTGGTCCAGGACGTCTGGCCAATGATCTAAAGTCAAATTTAAGGGCATTGTTAGACATTGTCCCATGGGTACAGATAAAGACAAACAATACGAAAGACGACAGACAGGCCGCGGCTATAAAGGAGATTCCAGTGCGGGCACGAAATACAGGTCCTGCAGGCATTTCAGGTCTCCAGCACCTCTGTCTGGGGCACAATACAGGTCCCCGGCACCTCTGTCCGGGGCACAATACAGGTCCCTGGAACTTTCGTCCCATGGCACAATACAGGTCTCTGGGGCGCAAAAACGAAACCCGGGTAATACAGGCCCCCCAGAGCACAATACAGGTCCCGCACCAGAATAGACTCAGACAGGAGAGAACACACAGAACATAAATTTTGAGCTCAGTCTTACCTCCAATTGGCAGTGGAGTTGAGTCTGGGGGACACAATCTTGGTGCGACCTCCAATGTTGGGGT